TTTTTTTTTGAGTTGTTGGTGCAAAAAAAAAAAAAAAAAAAGACAAGATTGGAGATGATGGTGAAATAAAAAAACAAAACAAAACAGAGCGCAAATGATGTGCCTGTTTTTTTGGGTTCTTTTTGTACCAACAACTTTTTTTTTTTTTTACTGCTGTATTTCTATTGTACCTTCTGTATTTTGAAAAAAAAAAAAAAAAAAGACAAGAAACAATTTTTTTGAGTTGTTGGTGCAGAAAAAAAAAGTTTTTTTTTTTTTTTTTTTTTTTTTTTGGAGATGATGGTGAAATAATAAAAAAAAAAACTTAGAAAACAGAGCGAAAATGCACCAACTTTGTTTTGTTTTTTTGCACAGTTATTTTTTTCTGTTGTACCTTTTTTGTTGTTTTTTTGTTTTTTTTTTGCTGCTCAGGGCTTCCGTAGGTTAATACAAACAGTTGGAGTAACAGTGTTTTATCTGAGTGTTTCGCTGCCCGAGTCGCTCTGACAGAGGCTCGTCTCCACTCGACGCCGCAGGTTTGGTGACGGTGTGATTGACGTGGCGAGGGACGGCGGCGCTTTGTTCAGACGACTTCCTGTTGCACGCGCAGCTCCGATTCTGTTTCCTGGGACCGATTTCGTTGCTCCAGAATCTGTGTGTCATTCGTTCATTCGTTTTTCAAAATAAAACCAAAAAGAAGAAAATGAAAAAAAAACTATTTTCTTCATTTTTTGTCTCCTAAACCAAAAATGAAAAAAAACAAAAACAAACTGATATTCATTTGATTTTTTCAGTTTTCAATTTTGTGTTTAAATGAAAAATGGAAAAAAAAAACAGATAACGGACTGAACCAGGACTAAACTGTTTTCAGTCCTGGTCTGGCCCTGGTCTCAGTCCTGTCTGGTCCCAGTCTGCGTCCCAGTCTTAGCTCTGGTCTCAATCACGATCTGGTCCTGGTCTCATTCCCGGTCTGGTTCCGGTTTGATCCCGGACCTGTTTTAGTCCTGTTTCAGTCCCGGTTCAGTCCTGTTTTAGTCCATTATCCGTTTTTTTCCATTTTTGATTCAAACACAAAATCAAACTGAAAAAACAAATCATTTTCTGTTTTTTCATTTTGGTTTTGGAGACAAATAATGAAGAAAATTGTTTTTTTTTTTTTTGTTTTCTTCTTTTTGGTTTTATTTTGAAAATCGACTGACCGAGCCCCTCACTCCCGTTGTGAGCCTGGCCAGTCAGTCCCTCCGGCCTCCTGGTCAAACGCAGCAGCATCTGGACTCTCGCCCACACCGTGTCATTACTCAAGTCCTCTGGGCGAGATTCAACCGCCTCAGGTCACTCAAGTCAGTCAAGTCAATCAGGTCTCAGAGTCTGACCTTACGATTTGATTTTTACTCTGAAGAGACTGGACCGAGAAGTGAGAATTGAACCTGCCCTGGGAGAGTCTGAGGTGAACAAACCTCGAGAGTCTCAGCTCAGAGCACGAGGAGAAACATCAGGAACCTTCAGATGGAACAACGACGTCTCCATTTAAAAACAGAACTTTTTCACAACGGCTGGAAGTTCTGCAGCCTTACCAAACGGGATTAATGGTTTTAATGGTTTTCTGTGTCAAAATGTGTGTGTAAATGTGTGTGTAATGTGTGTGTCGTGTGTGTGTGTGTAAATGTGTGTGTAAATGTGTGTGTAAGTGTGTGTGTAAGTGTGTGTGTGTGTGTGTAATGTGTGTGTAAGTGTGTGTGTAAATGTGTGTGTAAATGTGTGTGTAATGTGTGTGTAATGTGTGTGTAATGTGTGTGTAAATGTGTGTGTAAATGTGTGTGTAAGTGTGTGTGTGTGTGTGTAATGTGTGTGTAATGTGTGTGTAAATGTGTGTGTAATGTGTGTGTAAAAGTCTGTGTGTAATGTGTGTGTAAATGTGTGTGTAAATGTGTGTGTAAGTGTGTGTGTAAGTGTGTGTGTAAGTGTGTGTGTAATGTGTGTGTAATGTGTGTGTAAGTGTGTGTGTAAGTGTGTGTGTAAATGTGTGTGTAATGTGTGTGTATGTGTGTGTAATGTGTGTGTAAATGTGTGTGTAAGTGTGTGTGTAAGTGTGTGTGTAAATGTGTGTGTAAATGTGTGTGTAAATGTGTCGTATTCTCCAGCAGCTTCATAAATCTGCTCCTTCACCAAATCTTCAACCAACAAACGTTCTTCCATAAAGAATTTGTCCACAATTATCAAGTAGAAATGTAACAATAACTGAAATATCGTGATATCGTATCGTCAAAGTTCTCACAATAACATCGTGGACCATCACAATAAATCGAATCACAAGTGTCTTTGTTTAAATGAAGAGTTAAAAACACAGAGGAACTACAAAGACCATGATCCTTTGCTCCATTTCAGTGCAGACGACAAGAAGAAATAACAGTTCTGACACTTTTAACTCTTAGTTCTTTGGTTTAAGTTTTGTCGAGACATTTTAAGAGGAAAAAGTAGAATATTCACAGTTTTGTTAGACAACAAAATTTCACAATAAATATCGAACCGTGAGATGTTCATCGTGAAAATATTGCGTAAATATCGAGATTTGGATATCGTTACATCTCTAATCATGAGCCTCCATATCGTGATCTTTCCCACGATATCGCAATAAATATCGTACTGTGATGATATCGTATCGTGAGACTTGGACATCGATAAACCTCTAAATCTTCCAGGAACAATTTATCCACAACGATTAAGAGAAGAAAGATGAAAACTTAAAGGAAACATCGAGACACTTTAGTCACACAACAAACTCAACTCATGTTCTGATCCTGAAGAAAACAGAAGGAACTTGTTCACTCAGATTCATTCTACTGTTACAATTAACATTGATTTTTTATTATTTATCTTTAAATCTTTTAATCTCAGTTTTCCTGAAGATCTCAAACAGTATTTAGCTCCATTCAGATCCTCTTACAGTTCACGTCCCGCAGATCAGAGATTTTCTGTCGTCCCAAGAGTCAAAAAACAAACAGGAAAAACACTCATTTAAATATAAAGCTCCTTCTGATTGGAACGATCCTCCTTCCCTCATCGATTCGAGCTCTAACTTCAGTCCCTTCGTTTAAAAATGTTCTGGTTCAATATTTACAGAATCAGTGTCATTGTTTTTGATCATTTTGTTGAATTTTGTTGAATCATTCTTGTTGTATTCTGTGATTATCTTTGAACTCTGTATTATTATTATTATATTATTATTATTATTATTATATTTATATTTATTTTTTAATTTTTATTTTATGTATTTTTTTTATTTGTTTTATTATGTGTTAAACAGTCAAGTGTGTGTGTGTGTGTGTGTGTGTGTGTGTGTTTGTGGTTGTGTTGATTTTGTTGTTTTGATGCTTATTTGAACTGTATTTGTGTTTTTTCGTTGTATTTATGAGGACCCCTTGAAAACGAGATGGTGAAACATCTCAGGGGCTCATCCTCCAAACAAATAAATTCAAATTCAAATCTATTTCATGATGTGGAGATTTACACAGACACAGACAGATTTGTGCAGTTGGAATGACGGACGTGTAACTGAACATCTGTAACATTCAACCTGCAAACATTTATCTGTGTCAATGTCCACATCATGAAATCGATTTTTAAATTTTAATATGAACAAGTTCCTTCTGTTGTTGTTCTCCTGTAAGTTTTGCTCTTTCTTCTCTTGATCGTTGTGGATAAATTGTTCATGGAAGATTTAGAGGTGTGTCGATATCCAAGTCTCACGATACGATATCGTCACGGTACGATATTTATTGCGAAGTCGTGGGAAAGATCACGATATGTTGGGGAGACTCACGATTAGAGATGTAACGATATCGAAATCTCACAGTGCAATAGTTTCACGATGTACATCTCACAGTTCGATATTTATTGTGATATTTTATGGAGGCAAACAAAACTTTTTCCTCTTCAAACGCCTCGACAAAACTTAATCCAAAGAACTAAGAGTTAAAAGTGTTAGAACTGTTATTTCTTCTTGTCGTCTGCACTGAAATGGAGCAAAGGATCATGGTCTATGTAGTTCCTCTGTGTTTTTAACTCTTCATTTAAACAAAGACACTTGAGATTCGATATTTTGTGATGGTCCACGATGTTATTGTGAGAACTTTGACGATACGATATCACGATATTTCAGTTATTGTTACATCACAAGTGAGAATGTTTATCCTTCGTGGAGTTTGTTGGTTGAAGATTTGGTGATGGGGCAGATTTACGAAGCTGCTGGAGAATACGACACACACATTTACACACACATTTACACACACATTTACACACACATTTACACACACATTTACACAGAAAACCATTAACCGGAAGCTCCACAAACCTCAGCAGACGTTGTGAAAAGGTCTGTATGGTCCAGATGAAAACCTCTGAACCTTTCTCCACCAAAACTCTCAGTAAAACGTCGTCCAGGTCGGATCCATCGCAAAAGAAAAATTCTATTCTGTCGACTGGACAAACGTTTTAGAAGACGTTTCTGAGCTCATCCAACGCTGCTTCTTCTTCAGACGCTGCCTTATATCTGCAGGAAGGAGGAGGAGCCAACTACACTGAAACTCCTCTGAAACGTGTTTGGAGCTCGGTCTGTTGAACTGCACTGAGTCGTATCAGCAGAATCATCATCGTGAAAACCCTAAGAACCTGAACCATCCTGGTAATACGACTCAGGTTCAACGGACCGAGCTGTGGAGGAGCATGTGTGTGTTTGTTTCAGTGCAGTGAGCGCCCCCTTCAGGCAGATATAAGGCAGCGTCCACCAGCGTCCGTCCAGAACTGAAGAACCTGCGTGGACGAGCTGAGAAACGTCTCTAAAAGTTTTGTCCAGGGGATAAATAGAATTTCATTGAGTAAAACACGGTCTGAGCGAGTCGAGAGGCGCCTGCGTTGGAACAGGAGGCCGGAGGGACTGAGTGGACAGGCCAGAGTTAGTTCAGAGTCAGGATTTGGGAGTGAGAGACTCTGGAGGTGTTGAGGTTGTTGCGGTCGGCGCTGGATTCACAGAGAGACCAGAGCCGTGTGTGACCTGAGAGCAGAGTTTGAGTCCGACGTCCGCGAGCCTGCGCCTGCCTCGCCTCAGTGCGCCCCCCGCTGTCCTCGTGTGTGCAAACGCCTCAGATACTTCCGGGTGTTTCGCACCGACAGAGAACGACTGGTCTTTCCACCGCTGCTCTGGTAGAACCTCCCCGTCGTGCTCAGGGCGGGGAGCTTGTCATAGTTTTTGAACGAGAGAACGAGCAGATATTGGGAATACGTCTCCCTCCTCCTGAGTTCATCCACGTTCAGTCTTAGCCTCTCCATTATTCTCTTCTTCATTTTCCGATAAGCAGACAGACTCATGCAGTTCTTGGAGGGCAGACACTGGGGCTGCAGTCTCCCCACCCTGGTGAGGTAGGAGATGTCTTTGTGGACCTCTGCTAACACGTCCTTCAGACACTCTCCGACCCACAGAGAGACGTCATGTTCTTCTCGTGTGAAAGCCTCGTTCCACTGCTCCAGGAGGGTCTGGTACCTGCGGAGACGCCGTGTCTCTTCTCTGAGCCCGTCCTCGTCTCTCAGGAACAGGAAGCGCGCCACAGCTACATCCTGGGTCTCACAGAAAAGTGTCGGCCTCTGGAATATCGGCCCAAAAATCTCGAAGCCCCAAAACCTACTCTGCCTGGAAAGAAAAGAAATGAAAGACACAATTAAGAGGACGGCTCCAGTCGAAGCTGAGCAGTGAAAGGAGGGTTTGGGCGCCCCCTGGTGGTGGAGTGGTTCAAGCTGCAGCACAAACACCTTATGCTTCTGTGTGCTCCCTGCTCTTCACCTCCATAAAACCTACAGCCCAGAAAATACTCTGGAACTGTTCATGTGCAAAATAAATAATAAACAACTCATTTGCATAATAAATGATTCAGCTGTTCTGCTCAAACATAAAACCTGTCATTTACTGTGAGGCTGCAGGAGCAACGTAACCCTCACATCTGGAAGTGATAACAGTTTCTAATCAATTACATTTATATTAAGAGAAAGTTAACTTCAAGTACTTATAAAACACAGGGAACGTCAGATCTATTTTACATCTAAAAAAACATGGAGATGTGTGTTGTGTTGTGTGGACTGTGGACTCTTCCTGTCCTACCTGGACAGGAGGAGTCTCTACCTTTTGTTTTTCCTTGTTTTTTTCTCTACCTGCTTTTTCCTGATTCCTCGATGTCTCTGAACAAATCGATGAGGTTCTTCTTCTTCTTCTGCAGATGTTCCTCAGAGTCCTGCTCTCTGCTCGTCTCATCCTCTCTGGAGTCAAACACAGAGTCAAAACCTCATCTACAGGTCAAGTCTCATCCATCCATTTTCTAAACAGGGACTCCCAGACTTTCCTCACTCTAGCCCCGGGGTGGGCAAACTATGGCCCAGTGTGTCTGTGCCTTGTTTGCCCGACCGCACGACACTGCCATAAACTCTACGCCTCACATTAAACCAGACTCAGGTGTGTGCTCCGACTTTACCTGCGGAGGAGCTGCACAATCCTCTCTTTGGCTTTTCCTCTGTCCAACACATCCCTGTGAAACAAACCAATAATAATGAGTTACTGAATTAAACATAAGCAGCCCCGCCTCAGTCACAGCCACAAAAGTAGGAGGATTTCACACAAAAACTTGAGGGCAATTGTTTTCAGAAAAGAGGAAATACGGAAGGAGCAGATGAACAATTCCTCATTAATAGTGAACATCTGCAGCCTTGAGAGGACAGAAAATGTGACGGAGGTGGAGAGCGGGAGAGACATTCGGTGCACAGACTGTGCATGTGAGCCCCTCTCACACATGGCCTAAAATGACTTTGTGTTCAAACATTTCTTTGGACTTTAAATGTCATCATGGAGGAAAACTCTGCAGATGACGTCAAGGAAAAATGAAAAAAAAATCATAAAATATGATCTAGTGGCTTCATGGCGTCCCATGTTACAAGCACTTTTCTGAACTTTCACAGGCCAGAGTTTTGCCATCACACTGCTGAAAACAACTAGCATGCTAACAGAGTCTCAGCTTTAGTTCCTGAGCTGTGGCGGACAGAAAGTCATATAATCACCACGCGGTCGATCGCTCTTTGTCGCACCTGGTCTCACTTTTCCTCTGTGAGACGCTGGTGCCAGTGATCACATTCTTAAGAAGAAGAAGAAGAATTGTGTTTGATTTAGCAACTGGATTTGTTCAGAAAAGTTTTTTTTTAAAAAAAAAAGAAATGACAAACTGCACTAAAGTGTTTTCTGTTCTTTTACTGTTTTTGACTCAGATTCTCATTTTTCTAGAATTGACAAACTGGACTGAATTTATTTATTTATTTTATAAGATTCTCCAGAGGAAGAAGAATAAACCTGGACTTTACAGACTCGTGTCCTGCTCCTGTTTAAAGAAATGTTCTGTTTGTTCAACCGATGTGGCTCTTTCATTTACATTTACAATAAAAGTCACTATACTCTACTTTTGAATTCATTCATTGGTTTTGTGTATAACATGTGATTAATCATGATTAAACACAGGAACTCATGCAAATGTTCTTACATGTATTCATCTTTCCACATGGAAAGCAAGCTCCTACTGATCTCCTTCAGCTTCTCACTCAGACTCGACTCTTCTTCTTCTTCCTTCTCTCTGTAAAAACACAGTGGTCCAAAGGAACGTGAGGTCAGATCATCAACACAGAATCACATCGAGGCTCTCACAATATACTGAATTACAAATGATGTTTAGCTGCAACGGCTAAAAAAAAAGTACATAAACCAGGATCCTTTGCTCCGTTTCAGTGCAGACAACATCACAAAATAACTCATTAAGTTATTTACCACTTCAAGAAATCAGTAGAATTTTTACACTTCTGTCAGTGTCTCCACAATCACAGTGTGAAAGGAACAGTGTAAGAATATTGTAGTGTGCGACTAGAAGTGTAACAGTATAAACATCACTGTTCAGTTCGTATTTCGCTTTTGAGGTCATGTTTTGATTTTTGTTCATTTTGGGAACAAAATGCAAAACCATTTGTGTTTTTATTAAACCAACCATTAGTTTGAACTAGAGACGGGCATTTGATGAAGTTTTCTTAATCGATCTTCGGGAGAATTAACGATCGATTATCAATTAATCATTGAACGTTTTTATATTAAAATGATCATCATTATTATTACTATCTGCACTAATCTGCATCAATAAATTCAACTTTACGACATATAAACATAACGACTCTAGATCCACATCAGCTGTTTGACATTATAATGTGTTTAATTCAGTTTTGTTCAAATCTCACAGAAACAAAACTTAAAACCACATCACTAATTTACATAAACTAAGTGAAGATAAAACTCCAGCTCTTGTGTCGCTGATGTGGTTCAACTTGTGTTGGATTAAAAGACATGACTCAGGTGAATACAGGTCAGTGTGACCAGATTTGTGTTTGTCAAAACCAGGACAGCGTACGGGGGGAGGGGGGCGGGGCCTCGTCATCCACATTGAGCGACTCTCACCTGGAAAAACTTTTTCCTACTGGACACAGAAACATATGTGCTGCTTTATCCACTGTGCACATGGACTCACACTTGTCCCAACGCAACGGAAAGTGTGGAATTTCTTCTACAAATCCTGGTTAAATCCACATTTGTGCTTCGGTTCGTTACAGACTGACCCACTGTTTGTGTCTCGCTCCTTCTGATGCAGAGACACATGTACACACCTGTTTGGTCACGACACACAAACATACATTCAGTTTGTCGATGAAATTCTTAATGATCAATTATCGATTAATCGACTAATCATGCCCATTCCTAGTTTGAACATTATAGACGAGTTTGAGCTGACGTCATTGTTATTAAAAGCCTGCGTTGCTGCTGGGAAATATTTTGGTCGGAGGCAGAAACACGGTAGCGTCAAACACAGTGCGTAACCTCGTGTATTTCTCCCCGATAATGGTAAATTCCTGCTGCATTATCGGACGCACAAATAGAAGCACGGAAGAAGGAAAATGTCTTTTTCATATTCCGAGTGAAAAGAACCACTAACGGTGAATTAAACGACTTTCAAACATCCGCAGAGCAAACGTAGAAGATCCTAACAAACCGTGGACTCCAACAAGTTCAACAACACATCCAGACTCTTGGAGGTTTTCATCTTTTCTGCTGTGAATGGCCCAGGAGTTTCCACCAAGTCATTGTGGATGTCGCCCAAGTGAATATTTGTCCAGGTAGTTGGAGATTCTGACCAGAAGTTTGGTTTGGTCCAGACTCTGTCGGGGTTGAAAAGGGTGATTTGTCGTCCGTCGATGTTTATGACCAATTTCTGGTCAAATGGTCTTGGGTCCTCTGCCGTTAGAGTGGATAAATAACCGGGATCAATACCCTTTACGTGCTTTTCTCGCTCCGTCCGTCATGTTGAATTAGTGTTTCTTGCCGCCGACCAAAATAATTCCCAGCATGCAACGCGCGCTTTTGTCAACAATGAAACTCGCCTATACAACTGGGAAAATAAAAATGCAAAGTGCTACTTGGTAAAACTAATAAGTTAAATAAAATATTCTCAAATAAGCAACAAATGTTTGAAATATTATAAATAATAAATTCCTTGTAAACAGTAAACAAAACTTTTCAAAAAGCGCAGCACGAACAGTTCAGCATGAACTTTTACTCAAGCTTCAGATTTTTGGACAGAAAAAACAAACTTGTGCACAGTGTCTGCAGTGAGAGCAGATCTGCCGCAGCTACAAAAATACTAAAAATACTTGAAAATACTGCTGGGGGATTCAGTGCTGACGAAAGGTGAAAAGTGAGGACCGCGGCGCGACGATTGTGGTTTTGAGGATTCTCGTGGTTCAGAGCTCTAACTATAAAGCGCTGCAAGAAACACTGAACCAATCACGGACAAGTTCCTCGTGAATATTAAAGAACCGAGCCTCTGTGGAGCTGAACGTCTAGAGACCCAACGTAAACACACACAAACTGAACAAACCAAACGCCCCCCAAACGGTTCGACACAATGAACACATGAACCGTTACACCCCGAACTGTGACATTATGGTTACATCCACACTCACCTCTCAGCTACACTGAAGTCCGGAACGGGGGGGTCCACAGTGGTCACCCCAGAGTCCAGAGGGGGGAGGGCGGAGTCCAGAGGGGGGGAGGGCGGAGTCCAGATGGGGGAGGGGGTCGTCTGGGGCACAGTGGGACGGGGGCGGGTCTGTCTCCGGGAACAGGGTGGCGGGATCTTCTTCGTACACACGACGGTCGTCCTCCTCATCGTAATCGGCCCAGGCTTTGCTCCCGACCACAGAGCGAGTGGGCGGGGCCGAGGGGGGAGAGGGCGGAGTCAGTGAGGCAGTGGGCGTGGTCATCGTTCTGACTGACACGTCACTGTAAAATACAAAAGAATAAGATGAGAGAGGCAAAGCTCCACTCGGGGGCCCTTAAAGCTGGAGGTCATGAGAGAATTTGCACGATTTTGGCTGCGATTTCTTCTCTTTTCTTCTTTCTCCCAGAGTTTGAGGAGGCGTGACCCGACTTTGTGTCTTTGTGACAGATTTTAACCACCAAACATCAGCAATGCTCCGGTAAACGCCGATAAAACGGACACAGAGACGCAAGAAACAAACTGAGGAAACGGTGAAAACAATGATTAGACTTTTTCCTCACGTTCCCAATCCAAACCTGCGACCTTCTCTGTGACCGAACCCAAACTCTGGAACAGTCTGCCCCCCCCATCCCAATGGTTTTGCTTTTATTTACTTTTACTGGTTTTATTGTTTTAGGGCTGATGTGACCAAATTTGAGCAATTTATTTTTTTGTTGTCTTCATTTTCTGATTTCTGTGCAGCACTTTGGAAACTATTTGTTTGTAAAATGTGCTCTAGAAATAAAGTGGATTTGGATTTGGACTGACTTAAACTTTCAGAACCACTGTGTAAATCCTGCTCTTAATGTTTTGAGTCTGAAGGGGGCGCTGTGGAACTCACGCTGCAGCTGGAGCATTTCCTCCGGACTTGAGGTTCTTGGTTCTGCGTCTGCGTTTT